AACATTATGCTTCTTATGGAGTTTTGATTGGAATTTACTGAATGGGTGAGCTGCGGTATCCTGCATGGGACCGGATGAGGATGCTCGTTCTGTATTATCTTGAGACATGTTGCAAATCTCGTGTTTTAAGTAGGTATGTCGTAAGGGACTTTTGAGCTTGTCCCCTTTTTTTCTTTGTGGACGGCATACAGGGAGTCTCCCTGGGTGATCAACTGAAAATTAGATAGCCAAGGGAGATAATAACCCCAGGAGACCTATAACGCCCGTAACAGGTTTAAGGTTATAGTTACATAGGGGTTATCAGGCTTATCTGCAAATTCTTTATATTGTAAAGATAATTAGCAAACAGTGGAAATGTAGAGTGGACATAGGCTGTGGCAGGCACCATTAATAAGGCCCAAAACCCAGATACTGGCTCCAATTCCCACCACAAGGTCTGAGAGGGATGAGAGACCTCAGTGTAACAGAAGTCACCTTATGCTGGTCTCAGGGTCCTCTAGGACAGATACAAGGAGCCCCAGCACCCCACCGACAGCAGTGTAAGGGCCACAGTGGGCCTCCAAGCCCAGCAGGGGTCGTGGTCACAGAGGGAGATGGTGTCCAGGATAACAAATGGTAGCCCCGGATCACTGGAGGGGGGCCCAATGGCCAGTACCTGCCAGCCCCCCTGCCACCTGTACTCACTGTGGCCCGGATGGAAGGAATCTGGGTCGGAAGGAGTAGGGCGCACCAGGCCGCAGACATCCGCTGCCACAGGGAGGGGCAATATTCCCCGGTGCGTCCCTCCCAGACTCAGGGGATGCAGAGGGTGCCTCCCGATGCCCTCCGGATGATCCACCGCGGCCCGGGTGGGAATAGATTTAGGTCCGAGGTGCCGTGAGCCCCGGACCATGCAGCCACAGCAGAGGGAGGCAATACAGTCCAGAGACCCTCTCTCAGATGCAGGGGACACCACTGAGAGCCTTCGGTGCCCCACTGGAGTCCGCTGCTGCACGGATGGCAGCGGATTGCAAGTGTCAGGGCTCCAGGGTGTGACCAGAGGTATGTGAACTGACGCAGGGAAACGCAGGCTTCAGATATGTTATAACAATATAATTTATTAATACTAACAATACATAAACGCAGTGCAATACTAAAACATAACACAGTGCAAACGAACCAAACCACCCACAGATAACAATACATACAATGCAAGCGTCGTCAGGCAGGCCGGGTCAATAACAATCGGGCAGGTAGGAACAGGAGGAGCAGGCAGAGAGTAGTCAGGTCACGAGCCGGGTACAGCAACTAACGGGCAGGTAGGTACAGGGGGTCAGGCGGGGAATAGTCGGGGTCACAAGCCAGGGATCAAACAGGAGAACTCAGCAGAGGTCCGGATCAGGCAGGGTCAGCAACGAATCAGACAGAGACAGGAACAGGAACAGGAACAGGGATGCAGGTAACAAGATACAGGGGCTCAGGAAAAACTCACACCAAGGCCCAGACTGCAGGTCTGGCCATCCCTTAAATACACCTGCATAATCAGCTTCAGGTGTTTGGCTGGCTGCAGGGTTGAGTCTCTGATTGCTGAGAGCACCCGCTGGCCAGCCCTGGTACTGCAGCCCACAAGGCAGGTGAGTCCCACCATTACTGGCAAGTCCATTCCTGACAGTACCCCCCCCCCCCCTCAAGGAGCGGCCTCAGGACGCTCCAAACAGTCCTAGCTGGGCAAAATGTTCCACCGCCCGGGTCTGGTAACTGGCGGGATATCAAAGACTGGCACATTGGGCTGGACTCCGGGCAGCGGCACATTGGGCTGGACTCCGGGCAGCGGCACATCGGGCTGGACTCCGGGCAGCGGCACATCGGGCTGGACTCCGGGCAGAGGCACATTGGGCAGGACTCCGGGCAGAGGCACATCGGGCAGGACTCCGGGCAGAGGCACATCGGGCAGGACTCTGGGCTGCGGCACATCGGGCAGGACTCCGGGCAGCGGCACATCGGGCTGGACACCGGATCACCAGGCGGAGCAGCAGGCACCGGGCCCCCAGGCGGAGCAGCAGGCACCGGGCCCCCAGGCGGAGCGGCGGGCGCCGGGCTCCCCAGTGGAACAGCAGGCACCGGGCCACCAGGCGGAGCGACAGGCATCGGGCCCCCAGGCGGGGCGGCGGGCACCGGGTCATCTGGCATTGGATCGTCTGGCTCGACAGCGGGCATCGGGTCACCAGGCATGACAGTGGGCACTGGGTCATCAGGTACCAGATCATCTGGATCGACAGCGGCATCGAGTCAACTGGCCTAATAGGAGCATCAGGCTGAATCAGTTCATCAGACTGGGTAGAAACATCATGCTGGGTAGAGACATCAGGCTGAATGGAGGCATCAGGCTGAATGGAGGCATCAGGCTGGGTAGAGGCATCAGGCTGGGTAGAGGCATCAGGCTGGGTAGAGACATCAGGCTGAATTGTGGGCGCCGAGGCACCAGGCTGCACCACGGAAGGCAGGTTCTCAGATGGGAGGCTGACCGGTTTGGATACTGGTAGGATGGTATTGGTTGGAAAGAACTTTCGCCTTTTCCTGGTTTTAGTTACCGGAGCACTGTAAGTAAGCGCAGGTTTGTAAACGGATGGAGCAGCTGGAGACAGAGAAGAGCTGGAGGGTGGAACAGGGGAGGGAACAGTTGCTACAGAGGGCTTCTTTACAGGGTTAAAGGCAGGATAGGTGCAGCGAGTGGGAACAGGGTACTGACATGCGGTAGATAGCAGGTATACTGGGCTGTAACTGGAGGTGCTGTTGGGAATGCAGGAATAGGGCTTTGAAGAAATAGATTAGAAGCAGGACTGGGTTTTTGCAAGCTGACTGAGGCTGGGTGCAACAAGTCTGACCATGTCTGCAGTATGGGTTGAACAAAGCTCAGCTTACACAAAGCCTGTCTGACCAAAGACTGCACTGCGTTTATACAATCCCTTAATACCTGTGGTGAACATGCAGCATAATGTTCCAAGAAGCAATCCACATCATCCTCTAATAACCATACCAGGGACTCTACCTGGTCTGCACTAAATGGTGGCAAAAAGTCATTCCTGCTTTCAGGGGTACCAGATGAAGCCAACTCTACACAAACCTGAATCAAAGGTTGCACCTCAGAGAACTCTGTGCCCTGATCTACTAGAACATGAGCGATCCGTATACATTCTAGCAGTTGATCCCGGGGATACTCCCTCAGAGCCTGATAAGCATATTCTCTGTCATTAAAAACCAGCAGCGACAAATACACAACCTCATCAAGATCCATCCTTCCCAGCAACAAGCCAAGATGGCTTCCCTGTGCAGCCACTTCTGGTCAGGATTGGCCTTGGTGTAATGTCAGGGCTCCAGGGTGTGACCAGAGGTATGTGAACTGACGCAGGGAAACGCAGGCTTCAGATATGTTATAACAATATAATTTATTAAACACTAACAATACAAACATAAACGCAGTGCAATACTAAAAACATAACACACAGTGCAAACGAACCAAACCAAACCACCCACAGATAACAATACATACAATGCAAGCATCGTCAGGCAGGCCGGGTCAATAACAATCGGGCAGGTAGGAACAGGAGGAGCAGGCAGAGAGTAGTCAGGTCACGAGCCGGGTACAGCAACTAACGGGCAGGTAGGTACAGGGGGTCAGGCAGAGAATAGTCGGGGTCACAAGCCAGGGATCAAACAGGAGAACTCAGCAGAGGTCCGGATCAGGCAGGGTCAGCAACGAATCAGTCAGACAGGGACAGGGACAGGAACAGGAACAGGGATGCAGGTAATAAGGTACAGGGGCCCAGGAAAAACACACACCAAGGCCCAGACTGCAGGTCTGGCCATCCCTTAAATACACCTGCATAATCAGCTTCAGGTGTTTGGCTGGCTGCAGGGTTTGAGTCTCTGATTGCTGAGAGCACCCACTGGCCAGCCCTGGGTACTGCAGCCCACAAGGCAGGTGAGTCCACCATTACTGGCAAGTCCATTCCTGACAGCAAGTTAACGCGCCAGAGCTCTGGATCTTGCGGCTGCTCTCGGTCGCCATCTTGGACACGCCCCCCAATTTTTTTTTTTCACAAAGCTGTCATTTAAATGATTTATTTCTCGCACAAGCCATGGGTATATGTGGAATTACACCCCAATATACATTCTGCTACTTCTACCAAGTATGGGGATATCACACGTGTGAGACGTTTTGGGAGCCTAGCCACATACAGGAGCCTAAAATCCAATGACCACTGAAACCCCAAAGGTGCGTAACTTCCTCATTTCACTTCTTCACTACCTATCACAGTTTCGGAGGCCCTGTCAGGATAGCACCAACCCCCTCCCCCCAAATGGTCTACTTTTTGAAAGTAAACACCCCAAGGAATTTAAATAGGCATGGTGAGTATTTTGCAGATCTCATTTTTCTCACAAGGTTTTGAAATATAAAAAACTTGTGGCAACAGAAGAGATCTGCAAAATACTCACCACTTCTTATCAAATTCCTTGGTGTCTGCTTTCCAAAAAGGGGTCATTTGGGGGGGTTAGGTGCTATCCTGGCATTTCAGGGCCTTCGTAACTGTGATAGGTAGTCAGGAAGTGTAATGAGGAAATAAAGCCCTTTAAAAGACTGAAGGTGCTTATTGGATTTTGAGGTCCAGTACTTGGCTAGACTGCCAAAACGTCTCTCACATGTGGTACCCATACTTAGGAGAAGTAGCAGAATGTATTTTGGGGAGTAATTCCACATACACCCATGGCATGTGTGAGCAGTAAATCATTTAAGTGACAATCGTGTGTAAAAGTAAATAAATAAATGTTTTTGTCATTTTCCAAAAACTTGTGGTAAAAAATTAATTATTCTACTGATTCAACATGACTCTCAGCAAATAGTTTGAGGAGTCTACTTTCCAAAAAGGGGTCGTTTTGGGGGGTGGGGGCATTTTATGCCCAGCATTAGAAGTTAATGCCACACGTCATTCACTCTTCTAACCACCTGAAGATCAAGCCTTTTCTGAAACTTTTCGGTCACATGAAAAAAATCAGTATTTTTTGCTAGGAAATTAATTTAAACCCCCAAAGATTATATATTTTTTTTAAAGCAGACACCCTAATGAATAAAATGGTGGGTGCTACAATTTTTTATGTCACATAATACTCGCAGTGATTTTTCAAACGCAAATTTAAAGACAAAATACACTTTTTTTACTTTTAATGCACCAAAACACAATTATTTGGTAAAATATAAAAGATGGTATGCCAAGTAAATAGATACCAAACATGACATGATTTAAAACTGCGCATGCCCCATGCAATGGTGTTCTGTCTTGGCATCGGTTGTACTTGTGGCGAGATTCATTTAGACCCAGTCTGTCAGAATGTGTGCAGCAAGTTGAATGATCGCCTTAACAGATAGTTTACTCAATGAATAACAACTTCAGAGGTATTTTCCAATGCTTCTTTATACTTCAAGGTAACAAAGGTGTGAACATAAAGGTGTTTTCATAGGTAAATTTCCAGTAATGTACATAGCCTCCTCACTCTACAGCATCTTGATAACCACTAAACTAAAATTGGGTTGCACCAGGAAATGAAGGTGGAAGCAACCAACTAGTCAGAAACAGCAGGGGTGTGTGGATGATACCAAATAACATTATAACATAACATGTAAATAACAACAGCTAAACAGTAAAGCTGCGTGGCAGCACACTCCCCGTCTGGTATCGAGAGATACCACTACACAATTATTTTCTTCCTTATAAAATACTATTAACATTGCATACAGTAAAATACTATCTAACCTTCTCAAATCTGCAAGTTAGCTATATTAGAGGTCTTAAGTGACTCCCTCACATAACACTGAATCAGAATTACTAGAAGCAGGCATAATTAGGACAATCTCAGTGACTGGTCTGAGGAAGGTTTTTGAGTCTCCGTCCTTAACGATCCTGACTTCCACACTTCGAACTCTTCCATCATCACTGGCAATGGCTTTTGTAATAAGTCCAACTGGCCACTGGATCCGGTGAGTTTGCTGGTCTTTTAGCAGGACTAGGTCCCCTTCCTTTAAGTTGGGCTTCTGGGTTTGCCACTTTTTACGTCCTTGAAGGAGTGTGAGGTATTCCTTCCTCCATCTGTCCCAGAAAAACGATCTGCAAGGTATTGAGCATATCTCCACTGACGTTTATATACGTCCTTTTCATCGAAAATACCTTTTGGCGCTTGAATCTGTCCAATCTTCCTGCTCAATAATGTAGCTGGAGTTAAGATAGTCAGAAATTCTGGGTCTGTAGATACGGCAGTCAATGGTCTTGAGTTGATTATTGCTGCGACCTCAGCAAGGAATGTGGTGAGCACCTCATGGGTAAGGCGTGAAGAACTTACGTCAAGCAACATTGAGTCCAGTATGCGCCTTGCCATCCCAATCATGCGTTCCCATGCTCCGCCCATGTGCGAAGAGTGTGGTGGGTTGAATTTCCATACGCAGCCTTGATCACTCAAATAATTTCCAACTTGTTGTTGGTCTATCTGTAACTCTCTGCAAGCACCAATGAAATTAGTTCCACAATCTGATCTCAACAACTTCACAGGACCTCTTAGAGCAATAAATCTCCTTAGAGCGTTGATAAAACTTGAAGTGTCCATTGACTCAATCACTTCGATATGTACAGCTCTTATACTTAAGCAAGTGAACATTACAGCCCATCTTTTGCTGTTGACTTCACCACCACGAGTTCTTCTGGCCATTACTATCCATGGTCCAAACACACATCGATTCCAACATATGTAAAGGGTGCATCTTCACTCAGTCTGTCTGTGGGTAGGTCAGCCATCTGTTGATACTGCTGTCTACCTCTCAACTTCTGACATTTGACACAGTTATGAATAATCGTGGCTATTTGTCTTTTCACTCCAATTATCCAGAACCCTGCAACTCTGATGGCACCTTCGGTATAGTGTCTTCCTTGATGTCTGACTCTCTCATGGTAATGCCGGATAATCAAGGTTGCCAAATGGTGGTTTCTTGGTACTATCAAAGGGTTCTGTTCCCTTCTTAGCAGGTTTGACTTATTCAGTCGTCCCCCAACTCTAAGCATGTCTTCATTGTCAATTATTGGGTTCAGTTTGAATAGTGGGCTACCCTTTGAGACTGGTCTATTGCCTCTCAAACACTTAATCTCTTCTGCAAAGACTTCTTCTTGCACACGACGTATGATGAATAACTCTGCCTTCTCATACTCTAACGCATTGGGTGACTCCTTGCAAGTGTGACATCCATGACAAGACGATGTCTGGTTGGACTTGCAGAAAATCTGTGCAATATGACTCAATCTTGCTATAGTCTTCACCAGTCTTTTCCAAGAAGAGAAACGTTCAAAACGTCTTACCTCCAAGTTTCTTCTTGAGCAAATGTTAGAACTCAATGTTATAACTTCAGGGCGGATTTCTTGATCAGTGTCTGGATCCACCAGGTAGA